GGAAGGGACCTCAGGACATCACCTAGTCCAACCCCCTGCTCAAAGCAGGACCAGCCCCAACTATGTCATCCCAGCCAGGCCTTAAAAACCTCCCAGGATGGAGATTCCACACCTCTCTAGGCAACCTGGTCTTGGCTGTGAGGTTGACAAGTTAAGTGTGTTTCTAATCCCCCTCGCCTGAGCTGCATCTTTCCTTTTTCTTTCCTAGCCATGCCCTGCCGCCAGCTCTTTCAGGTGTTCTGGTGCCTTTGGCAACCTCTAGCCAAGGTGCTTAGGTGGGACTGGAACCATCTAACAACTGACCTCTGCATGTTAGAGTTTACTGCAGCCCTTCAATGCTATTTCTCCTCTTGATACCTGGTGTATTTGTCCTTGGTTCATCCTTCTTTGCAGTGAGTCTAAATTGTACAAACTTGATGCCCCCCTATACCTGCTGGCAGAAAGTACTGAGCTGTTGTGGCTTGGTTACCTGACGGTGCCGACACACAACACATGGACTACGTCGTAAACGGACTTTGTGGTAAAAAGGGAGTTGGCACACAACAGAGCCCTGCTCTGCAGGGGTGTACTCAAATCCAGGGCAAATGTACACCTGGAAAAAAGGCTTAGTAAAATTATCATGTGGCAACATTACTCCATAGGATACGTGGGGTGGGGCGCTTGCTCACTTTCGTCCCAGGATAGCCTTTTGCTTAATGCAAACTGGCTCCCTTGCCAGCTGCTGGCTCAGTGCTGTACTTCTAGCACAACGGCGAACGGCTTGGTTTGGAGAACTGGTTGTGTCTACTCCAGCGGTTCCCAAACTCTGACAGATTGCGCGCTACCAATTTAAAACGATACAGCCTTAAGTACCACCAGCAAATGTTTGTTGTATAAAGTAATTATAATAAATCTGTTAATGTGTACCACTGACAGGGTGTCTGAGTACCACTGGTGGTATCTGTAGCACAGACTGGGAACCACTGCTCTACTCCTTTTTTATGGAGTAAAATCTGTGCTGACTTACACCACAGCAGTCCCATTGTGCGACTGCATCCTGAGACACTGACTTATCTCCTCACTACACTGCTGCAGGTCACCTGACTTTAGTGCAGCTCTGTCCATTTATGATTGCTGTGGACCCCCACATCATTAGAGAGGAGCATCTTAATTCACTTCATTTCACTGTAGCCCCCGTGGCTGGATCATTTGGATGTTTCCAGTTAAAGAAAACCAATCCATTATTTTGGGTAAGTGGCAGTGTTGAAAAGAGACTCTATGTGTAGCTTTGGTGCACGTAGCTTGAGCTGCCTTAGCCAGCGTGGGAATTGCACTGCAAGGTGCTTACAGGTGCAGACACAAGTTAGGTTTTCTGCAGAGCTTTCAGCCAGTAGGCAGGCTTTTGAGATTTTTTTCTTAAATGTGTTGCTAGCTGCATTTTATTGTATTACTACTGCCAGTGTTGCCACCCACCTTCTTGAGTGCACGCTGCAAAGTTTGCATATGCTGCTGCACATGGTTTTACACTGCAGAAGGAAAAGTGAAGCCTCGTGTTCTGTAGTTACTCCTGATGTGACTGTCACCATGTAAGAGAAAGCATAAGACATACCAGCGCAACAGTGCATGGCATGTGTTATTGAAAGCACTTGATAGATAGGCTGAACCATTTTTCAATTGAAGCAATACTATCATAAGACAAAAGGTGACAAACAGGGTAGAAGAAGCAATATTTAAAAAAATGAGAATGGGCTTCTGCATAGCCTGTCTTGTGCTGGCTTCAAACACTGGTCCATTTTTTTAGGTGTCGAAAAACTACATGAACCCTGTGGCCTTTAAAAAATGTTCAGGGCCTCTGTGCTGCCCTTGTCTTGACGTGCCAGGTCAACAATATTTTCTCCCAGGCCTCGTTTGAGTCTCCACTCCAACTTCCAGAGAAGTAGCATGTTATGCTTGTTGACCGGGTGTCAGTTCCATGGTAAACCAGTTCTCTTTTTACTGGCCTCCCACTTTATAACTCCCCTGTGGGATATATTTGAACCTACACTATGTAAACTATAGCTCAACTCTGAATGACTAGCTTGCTTCAAGATTTTGGCTGGGGAGGGGGTGTGTTTGTAGTGCTCCCTGCTCTCTCCCCCCCCCAGCTCTCTAAAAAGACTGTACTTTCCTCCTCCCAAAAGTGCTATGGTGACATTCAGAGATGATTCCCAAACAAAATTTGGGGAAGATGCAGACCAAACTTCTGAATCCACAAGCATAATTAAAAAAAAAAAAAAAAGGCCAGTGAGGACACAAAGAACTGGCCATGGCACAAAAAGGAGACTTTAAGAGAATGCTAGGGGATGGGATGGATGGGAAAATGGTATGAATACATTAAATAACTGGGAAAGTCTGTTTCCTGCAAAGCCTACACCAAGAGGAGAGAACTGACTGAGTGAAAGGAACATGGCCATGGCATTTATGTAACAGTAATTTTTTTTTGGTATATAACACTCATAATTATGCGCTTGATTTCTGGGTTTGTTTATGTGCTGTATGCCAAAAGCTCAATTACTAAAGCAACCAGTAAAGGACATATTATGGGTCGTGTGGCAAGACTAATAAAGCCATATTCCCAAGCTCCATGCCACTCAAAATCCCTGTAGTCTCAGAGTGGTGGAGGCAGCAATGGTGGCTGCTTTAAGTAAGGATTTGCTTCATTCCTGAGATGTATCCAGACACCCACGTGACAATATACTGCTGATTCCTGGGACTGAAGCACAAGTGAGCATGTTTGGGTAGCAAAGCCCTGGTGAATCAGTGCTGTTTAGGTTTCAGGCAGGTGCCAGCAGCCACCAGCACGTTCCCTAACAGATCTTGCCACTGGATGCTGTTGGCACTGAACAGGTGGTTACAATGGTGAAACAGCTGAGCAGCAAACATGGGGCGATGAGCAAACAGACCTCCTGAGCTTTCAGCACCGCCTTTTTTCCTCCCTTTTCTTGTTCCTTGTTGCTTACCTAACTACCTTGCACTCTCCACTCATTGCTTTTTTCTCTAAAGTGATTGGGCTAATTCGTGCACTGGAAAATAGCTAATATCTATAATGCAATCAGTGATAGGGTACAGGGACAGCTGCAATTCCAAACACCACTGAGGTCCAAGTTGCCTTTGTGTAGTATTGGCTGACACACTGCTGCCCTCCTGTGCTGGATTGGCTCCCAAATACCCATAGGAAAGAGAGTACAGGTAGCTGTGCGAGTCTCCAAGATGGCCCAGCAAAACCATGAAAAATGAAAATCAACTAGTCCCTTTTTCATAGTACAGTCAGTGATGCCTGGCATTTAGTTCACATTTATTGAAAATATACTGTATACCTTCCAGCCACAACCAGTTACTTCTAGCTGGGATTTGAGGAGTACCATTCACATAAGCTCTCATTTGTAGTCAGCACTGTGTTAATGACTCAGGCCTAAAAGTTGGCACTGGACGGGTAATAGCTGAAGGGAAAGATCCCCTCTTGAACAATGAGGAAGCTAGACGTGCATTAGCGGATGCGCTTTGACCTTGATGCCATGAGGATTCCACAGTTATAATCTGGCCCTGCCCATCAGACCATACAGCAGAGGGGTAAAACATTACTGTAAAATGTTCTTAAAAGTAAAACCATGACACCTATGCTTTGAGTTAGCCTCTGAGTCGTTCTTTTTCCATAATGTATGTATTTATATTCATTTTCTAGCATGTGGTTTCCGTAAGAAGTCCACATGGGTTGTTTGAAGTACTGTTCTCAACAAGGCTAGTTATGAATAGGCACAAATGTTTGCTGTCTCGATCCTGGTTTTCTTGATTGGGTGTGTGAGATGTCACCCATGTGGTGCTTTTCTTTTGGAACACTTCTGAGGATGAGCAAATTCTTTTCAAATGATAATTAATGTATTTACATATAGCTTTACAAAAACAGCAGGAGATGCTTCCGTCAGGACAAGAAAGTTGGTTTCAAGGATGGACACTACTTTTTTTCTGTAACCCCTTGTAGTTCTTGAGATGTTTGGACTGTGTTTTTTTTAAGGGTGCGTCCACATGTCACCCTACATTGCTGTAGCAATGTGCTACGTCACCATATGACATGCTATGGTGACATAGCGATCACGTGAACTACACGTGACCGGCAGCTGCTTCACCATAGCAGTGCACTCCCCCGTTCTGCTACGTCGAAGTAGCAGCTAAAATTAACTGTGTGCCATGCACACAGCGCAGTACAGACAGTTACTGGGCTATGCTTTCGTATGTTTAGATGTGCCCTAATAGTCTCAAGTTTATTACCGATGTTGTGTATTTTGTGGTTTGTTGTATGTAGGGGGAGCAGCATAGATGCTCTGTGGATCCTTCTGGACTTAACCTCTGTTATATGGTTGTCCGTGATTGAAGAGTGAACACAATGGCTTCTCACCCTGTGAATAAATGGTCCTGCAGTCTACAATATATATGGTGAGAACTGGCCTTCCCATCATCATAAATAGCCAGGACATATTACAATTCTGGAAGTGAAGCAATTGGTTGATGTTGCTGTCTACAGTGTAAAATACAGGAACAGGTCCCAGCCAAGGCCTTGAACCTGCAAAAACCTTTTCATAAGAAAACTGGTAGCCTGGGCCATGATCCTACAACGTGGAAACTGTGAAACAACAGAACTCTTAAGGAGGAAATATTTATCTCAGCTAAATTCTTTATATAATATATGGACTAGCCAGATGGGTTAATTAAAAATTGCCAGAGTGGCTAAATTCTTTTCTAAATGCAGCTGCAAAATGTTAGCTGTGGGCATATTTTAGATCTTAATTAGTAACACTTGCACTAGAGAACCCAAACTTTCATGAATACAGCTGCAGTCAATTAATATTAGCTGGCATTTCTATTGGCAATGTAAGGGGCTCTTAAAATGTGTCTACTGGCAATCTAAATAAAAGAAACTATTTACTTACAAGCAACGCACTACGAAATCAAAGATAACTACAAAATTCTTTATTGAAAAAGCAGATTATAACATCTAAGGTTAAATGATACTTCTGACTTTTAATATTAAATAACTTAAGATGATAGCAAGTAGCTTCTTCTTTAGATAAATAAATCTACATTTCCCAATCTTTTTTTCTTCAACAATCAAGGGAATCAAACACTGAAACACAAAAACCACAAGTCATTCTAAGGACTAAAAGACAGAGAAGCACATTTAGAGGTTTTACAAGGATATATACAAAAATAGTTAAACCAATGTATATTTGCAGCATGTAAACTAGTTACATGATATACAGACTGGGCATTTATATATTTCCTACAAAATAAAAATCAACGTTGGTCCAAGTTCTTGGAAGAAAACTATATTCTTTTAAAGAAAATGAAAATATTTCTCAAAGGAAAACTTAATTTAAGTCAAATTATATACTCTAGTTACGGCATTAGTTACAGGATGAATCACAAACTTTTAAACTTTTCTTGAAACACAAGAAAGCAGCTTTTGTGTGCCTCCTTTAGAGCTTTGGTTTACTTAACTATTCTGGAATTTCTTAAAGAGCTCCTCTATCCATACTTTAATTTTGAAGCTCCACCTTACAAAATATACACCAAAGAAGAAAAGGAGAAAAACAAACCCCAAGCAAACCCTTTTGAAAGCTCAATTAGCTGAGATTTTTTTCTTTCCAAATCATAATTGTTTTGGTCTCTTCTTTGGAACTTGTCTTCCAGTGCACTAGGGACCCAGTGAATCTCCTAAGCCAGCCACGTCCTGTCAGGACACTACAGAACTCCACTCCAAAATGAAATGTAGAAGGTGAATTTCTGAGTTCTCGCAATGCAAATGAGGACAAATTGTTAAATTGCTGCAATTTCAAAGTTCTGAAAGTACAGAACAGAGCAGAGGCTTCCAACAGATAATCACAATTCAAAATGAATGTTGGCAAGTTTACATCTATGTTGAACTGAACAATGTAAGAATACTCCCTAAGGAAACAATTTCAAGGAGATTTCACTTAGGCAGTTCCCCAGACAGGAGGTAAAAATGCACAGGAAGTTTCACTAATACTAAGTTGCACAGCATGTTATTTGAAATTCGCTTTTCACTTTCCTTGTATTTTTCCTTAACAGCGGCCAGTAAATCATACTCAAGCCCCAGTTCTGTATTAAATGGTGTAAAAGCAAGCTGTACCTCGTGGTAATGTAACAGACCGACCCTGTCTGTAGAAAATACTGGAACAACAACTGCTGCTTTCTGGTTTTAAACAAACTGCTCTCTCTACATTGAAACAAACGTTCAACATTTTATCATGACGATACTTAATGCGTATTGGAACTGAGTAGTAGAACTACTAGACTGAAACATTAAAATGAGGAATTAAATATTATTCTGTTCTACAGTATGATAGTTTTCAAAGAAGTAGTGTATGTACATGTTTGATACTGTGCTGTCCACTGAAAAGTACTGCGGCAGCAGAAGCGGGGGCTTGCCACTGAAATTGGGAAAGCGCTAGGTGTAGGATGCCGGCTGAAGGAAGGCCCAACTGACCTTTAGTCTCTTGTCTTCAGTTTCTGGGAAGTCCGAGCTCCCAGTCTGCTGCACCTGTGCACTTTTCAGTAGAAAGCACCGTTCTGCGTTGACTCGCTCATGTGAACAGACCCAAATCTTCTGTATGGTTTAGTAACTGTTTTCTTTACTTTGGGTGTTTCTTATACCTATGTTAAACACCATGAAATGGTCTGAAGCCAAATATGGCCCAAGCTGTTTTGTGACTTGAAGAAGCATTGTGCTATGGCTGATGCTAAAAGTGTATCCTGATGTGCCGACAGTCTCCAGCTGGTATCTTCACTGGTATCAGGCCAGCCCCTCGAATTAATGCAAGAAATAAATAAATACAAAGATAATTTTTTTGCTGTCACAGAGCTTGCTCCTCAGGACCCAAGCATACATTTGCAAGGTTCCTTGGTGCACATAATTGTGGTAATTGTATGCACCAGGGCTGTTCAACTGACAGTCCATGGGCCATGTGTGGCTTGCGAGGGGTTAAACTGCATTCTACCCAGCCACCACTACCCTCCTTGTTCCCTGCAGCCAGGGTCTCCAGGCTCCCTCTTCCTCTGGCTTCATCTTCCCCCACTGGTGTGGTCTCTTCTAGTGTGGCCCACAAGACACATGGCCTGGGGGTTCTTAGAAGTTGGACAGCTCTGGTGTTCACAAAGGAAGAGTGCAAATAAATGCACATGGAGCGTGCATGGGCCTCTGTGCTCATCTTCCTGAAAATCAGGCCCTTGGTCTCCAACCACTGTAGGAACAGGATACATACAGCATCAGCAGTCCTCCAAAATACAGCCTTCCCGTTAACTAGGCCAGGTATTCATTGTAAAAAAAAAAGGTGGATTGAAGTGCAGCAGAAGTTTGTGAATTGCTGCATTTGTCTCCCCCCAGCAGGAAAAGATGTAGTGCTTTAAAACCATAACGATACTTTTGGTGATCAAAAAGTTCTATTAAAGGAATGAGAATCTCATGAACTAGGTATTCTATTGAGGAATTGGTCTACAGGCGGTCTCTTCTGCTTTGCAGCAACACCAAGAATAGCTTTAGTGAATCAATGGCACCTTAGAAACTGCACTTGATGCTTTAATGGTATTGCCAAATAACAGTCATTGCATTATTTTGTTGAACTCAACACATGATGATCTTAAAAGCAATGGGTCAGATTGTCAGTTGGTGTACACTGACCTTGTGTTTTTGCAGTCCATGGAGCTCAGTCCATTTACACTTCCCAAGAACCAGGCTTGACATTGCCACCCAATTTACAGCAAAGGAATTTTAATTTAATTTAATTTAAAATACAAAATACTTTCAGAGAAAGGAATGATGGACACATTTCAAACCATAATTTTTTTGGGAAGGGCGGATCAATTCTCATGAGAATGCAAGGAACTGTTGTTTAAATTTACGGAGATGTGATTTGCATGTAAATCATCAACACGCAGTAGAAAAAATATATAAAAAAAGTATCTAACTTCCTATATGGAAGATATATATTGCCCCAGAGTTCTGAGGTTATTGTAAAAGCTTATGTAAAATATGAAAGTGTGTACATTCTATGTACATCTAATACTTGTTATAAAATATCCATGTTTCAGATGCCTGAATCTCTAACTTATTTCTGCTAGCCTGTGTTTGGTTTTCATATGTAGGTGACCACTGTAATACGTGTTCTTTTCTCAGTTTATTTTTTAACCTAACTGAAAAAGATAATACAAAACTGCTGCCCCTTTTTATCCCGTGATAACATAAAAATGCAAAGCTGTTGGGTAGCAAATGATGACCTCCTGAGGTCCCTTCCAACCCTACTTTTCTATGATTCTATGTCTTGTATGAAAGAAATATTACAGACACACAGAAGTATCCCTTTGCATAGCCCCAAAAGGGGTGCTAAACCTGTTAACAAAAAACAGGTTTAAAAGATGAATTGCTTTGTAAGTGCCAAATCACCAGAAGAATATGAGAACTGCCTTTGAAACCATGGCTACTCTCATGTCACTGTGAACTCTAGAAAAACCAAATAGCTAAGTGGCTAGCAATCCTGGGGAACCAAAATTTTCTTCATGTCATAACCCTGCATGTACCAATCTTAAGTCTTCAAGTAGATATGTTCTTCTCCAATGAGCTTCCTGTAGAAGACACCTGCCATGTTCCTGCAGGAAGCCAGACATGCTATTGGATCACTATGAAAATCGAATAGTGTGGAAAGCCTGGCTTCTGCCTCTTCACAGAATGCCATCAGTTAACCCACGTTTGAAATTTCTGTCACTAAAAATAAATGGACTTTGCTTCCTATTAGCTACTTCTGGGAATCTAAGTATTCCAAAAATGTAAGAATGTTTACTCTCTCAGACCAGGATGTAGCGGGACTAGCTAGACTGCTAGCATTTTATCTTATCATGCTTGCCACGATACGATAAGGTGCTAACTTTGGGGGATTCATTCTACACTCCTTACCCAAGCGAAACTGCCATTGAAGTGAAGCTAATAGGGAGTGCAGAACAGAGCCCTTCGTACCACCGTATTGAGAAATGCTGTTGTTTACAGTTAGTGGCGCATTATTTCTTTCAAGTAGCCGGTGTCTCAGTGAAAATGTCTTGGTAAGTGAAAACATATGTCCATTATCAGAGAAGCCCCCTCACCTCTAATTTAAAAAAATAAATAACTTAGCTGGTTTAACTGGTTATTAGAGGAATTTCATCTTTAAAGGAATGGGAAAGTCATTTTTAGCTTTTCCATCTTCTCCTCTAATGATTTACTGTACTGCTGAAGAAAATGTCTTTCAGAGTTCTGTAACATGCATCGGGTAACTTGGAGGAGGATGCGGTGGTACTTTGATATTGAGGCGCCTAATATGACAGCCATGACAGAGCAGATGGCCCTCTAAAGGATAGCAACGATGGCCTTCTTCATCATTGAGCTGGAGACCGCAGTCCTAAAAGAAACACATGTTCACAGATTAGTTAGTAATTGCTTTACTATTCCTTCTTGCCAGCCTCTGAGGTTGCCCTGGCGCGTGCGCGCACACACACTCTGATATGCTGACTATAATCATCTTGTGAGTAGTTTGTAGATTAATGTTGACTATAATCTATTAAGCAAAGAATGATGTCACCAAAATCTACAGGAACATGGAATTTAGACACGGGATCATAGTACATGTGGTTGGTTCTAGTACTTGTTTTCTCTGGTCTGTGCTATCCCACCTCCTGCAGTGATCCAGCTATGACCAGGATGATGCAAGGATGGACACCCCTAATCATAGGGCTATACAACACAGGCTGACATCTCTAAATGTGGAGTTAGTGAGATCAAATAAAACAAGCTGGACATGGAGAGAGGCAGAGCAAGCTAGCAGAAGTGCAGAGATGGATGGAGAATCAGGGAACAACTAAGTAGAGAGAAAACATTGTTCAGGTGAGAGATGAGCCAGAAGGTTTGAACTTTAGGGCAGAACTGAACTTCCTCTAAGACTGGGGGTTCAAATATGGCACTCTCTATAGGATGCATCTAAATCAGATGGTGCAAGTCACAAAATTCAAAGGGGTACAAGGCCACTGTTCCAGTTCAGGCCTACCGCCAAGTAGAGGTGCTTAATATGTGCAGTACATATTAGGTTAATCTTGCAGTGGATCAATAAGTTTTCTGAATTTTTAAAAGGGGGCAAGTTTCCCTGCTGAAATTATAAGGGTCTTGGCATGGAATGGATGCAGTAAGGAAGGAAAGGAAGGAACCTGTGACTTATTTATATACCCAACTAGGAAGCTAAAATACCTTGGTGGAATGGCGCACAATTACAGCAAGCAATGGTATATCTGAGCAGCGGACAACCGCAGAGTAGGGGAGGGGGAAGGGGGAAGAAAGCAACCCAAGCAAGTATCCCATTTGGTGATGATATTGTGTGCTGCAGCACAGTTCACAACACTCTCTGCACTCTCCAAGCCATTTGAGGCTAGGATTTTACGTTTGGATTCCTGAATTTTGAAAGAGTGGGGCATAATTAAAAGTTCTTTCCAGTGGCAAATCCTGACAGAGAAGCTGGAGACACTGAGGTTCATGTGCTTAGTATGGAATACAAGTTGAACAGTTTGGGCAAACAGGCAGTGTTGAGTGCTTCTAAGCCAGGCAGGTGTCTTTAACGTCAAAGAGAAAACAACATTTGATCAGATTTGAGGTGTGATCCATTTCTTAACTTCCACAGTTTTAAATTGAAATTCTCAACTTCCAATAGGAGAGAATGATGAATTAAATGTGTTTTCAGGCAGAGCAGAAATACTTAATAAATTGCTTTATGGACCTTCTACTCAGGCATTTTAGACCAGTCAGCTATATTCTTACTCAACTTTGTGCTCAATCATTTAAGAGATTGTAGAAATATAAAAGAACAATTTGTCCAAGGGGGATCATTGTTGGGAATGCTGGGGTTTTTTTTTTCAGACACTGGTTACCTCTGCATTTCCTCAATTATTTATCAGTGATTATACAGCAAGGGACTTGAGATTTTATGATGCGTTACTAGCTTTTGTCACAGTTCACAAATGAATCTCACAAATTCTTTCCCATTTAATTAGGTAGGAAATTCCAGCCAGTTCAACCACAGAGCCCTTTCTGAAATCTGCTTCCTTCCTTGTAAGAAAATCTCAGTAGCTGGAACATGGCAGCTCTTCTTCACCTTGTGAACTCCCATACATTAAGAATATTCCCCACAGGATGCAAGCGCTACACCGTAAGCCATCAGGCTCAGAGCTTCTGGTCACTGGAATCATGACGACAGACTAGATAGTAGGCACATGAAAATGGAGGGAGTTGAGAATAAGATTAACCAGCAGTCAGATTTGAGAGTTTGGGCTCAGGCCTCTTAATTGCTAACCCAACACAGTATCAAATTACAGTTGTGCCAGCTGGCATGCTGCCTGCCCACAGCCCTGTTCAGCCAGGCCCTTCTTAGGACTTTTAACAATTTGGGATTAACTAAAGATATGCCAAATGCTAACAGCTTGCCTTGCCTCTCACCCATTCCATCCTCAGTTTGCTGTGCAGTAACAGAGCCTGTCCTCCTATTTCATTCCAATTTTTAAAAAGGCCCCCAAAGATTTACCAACTGCTGTTGGGTTTGCAGTACAGGCACTTATAGTCCCTTTACATGTCATGTTTGTCCACTGAGCTGGAGGCCCAAGGCTTTTCAAATCAGCTAGTGAGCTTGGGTTCCCAACATGAAACACCTTTGAAAGGTTTTAAAAGTGCCTGTCCAGCACTTTCTGGAGACTGGGCACCTTGTTAAGGTCTGAACTCGGGCAGCCAAAACCAGAGGAATCCAAACTTATTAGTGACCTGTGGAAAGCCTAGTGGCTACAAGGACTTCATTTTAGTGTCCCCTTTTTAACAGGCTATCAATCCAGCCTGTAAAACTGAGCTCCCAGCTTTTCCTGCTCAGTATCTGCATGTGCATACATCAGGTAGATGTCTATTGACTCTCTCTCTGCAGTTTGCTGTTCTGAGGAGAAGCAGAGGCAGACTTGCCTCAGATTGGAAGGAATGTGGAGCTCAGTCATGAGAACTGAAAATAAACCCTCGTTAGGACATTCTCAGATACAGTCCAATAGGCAGAGAGGCAGGGGGAGGGAGCTGCCATGTGGGCAAAGTCTGCACAAAGCAGTAGATGGGTGACTATGTTAACTAGCAGGATATAGGAGCCCTTCTAAGGGACTCCCTCCGTCAGTCCTTGTAGAACTACTCTACTTTGTGCAGCAGACTTAAATATGAATTAAGCCAGAGAGTGAATGACTCAGTAGGCTGGTGGCGAGAGATCTTGGTTTAGATCCCTGCTCTGTGCTGTCAGGTGGAAGGCCCACCGTCACCACCTCCCCGTGGTTGGCTAATCCAAACCCCAGACATTCATGGCACTCCATCTTAGCGAGTGGTCCTCAGCGCTAAACAGGAGCAAGAGAACTTGGCCTGGGTCCAGGTGAGTAATCTAACTATAGGTAACTAATTACCAATGGAGCTGTAGCATGGGGGCAGTGCAGAGGTGCTGCAGGCTTACCTCACAGTGATAACATTCCACATGGTAATCTTTGTCCATCGATACCACTCGAATGGTTTCCTCGGAGCCCTGATTGGGAAAATGAGACTGGACTTTAATGCATTTCGTGCATTTTCTATTCAGAACATTTACTACAGTCCTAGAAAGCCCTATTTTTATTGGTGTGAGACTGTATTCCTTGGCTTTGTTCTTTCTTGAAGACAGCCAGGGCCTCTGATCACTTAAAAGCCTTAAATGTTCCCTACGGGTACAATACCAGACCTGTTTCATGCACTGTACCAGGGAGATCCCTATTTTGCGGATTTAGAAGAGGCTCCAGTGCACATGTGCAGCTTCTTCTGTAGCCCTTGGCAGAGAGCTACATGTCTAGCCATCAGAATTTGGCCCATAACATGCAGGCTTTGAAGGTTCATTTTTTCCAAGGGAATCCAACATGTAAAATAACTGCCAATAAGACACTTAGCTATCTGTTAATCTACTTGATCTTCACAGATGCTTTGGCTTAATTTTCCACTTGCACTAAGCCAGGAACTGTGCAGCTACTTTGCGTGGGCATATGTGCACCCCTAAATGAAGCCTGCTTTGTGTAATTCTAGGTGTGGTTTGAACATCAGATGTGACGCAGGCTGTACTGAAAGGATCTACAGGGCAAGCCATCACCTGCGTGGCCAGACTTGAACTAACACAGATGCCTTCCATGGGAAAGCGCCGGTAATCTGCCTAGAGAAAGGTTGCTGCAACTCTTGCTAACTGTCAGCTGAGTCAGAGGTAGAGCAGCCAAGGCTTTTAAAGGAAGGGCAGCTGAGTAATAAGCAAAACACAGGGGAAAAAGGAGAGGACACGTACTCAGGATGTGCTATCCTGCCATTTCCACGTCACTAGAAGGAGGGTCTGAGTTCATGTCACGTGCAGACAAGAACAAGGAGGTGTGTGTGCGATAGATCTTCTTAATGTACAGATGTCTTATTGTGCCTGAGCATAACTTCTAGCCAAGATACACATATAACATATCGGATTCCAAAATATTCCACTGTTTAGTCAGAGAGAATTTAAAGTCTCAACTTTGGCTTTGCTCTGTTCCGTCTTGTTATTGGCTGCTCACTGTTGGCCTCATTCATAGATTGGGGTACTTTCCCTGGAAATCAATGGGGCCATGCTCTTAGCAAGGCACTCACTACTCAGTAAGGCTACAGTGGGAAAACACAACCCTATATAGTTACAAAGGACGGGACTGAAACACCAACTCTTAGCAAGTTCAGGTTTTTGGGAAGTGCTCAGTGCACCCAGTTTCCTCTCTTTTCTATGGGCGTGGGGCATGCCCTGCAGAATCCAGGGGCTGGCAGGATTGGGCTGCAAGGCACCATCTGACTGGCTCTGCCCTAGCCAAGCCCTTCTGCAGCGTGGGTTCCCCAACAGCTGATGCCAAAAACACAGATACAACAAATAACAGAAGGTCTTCGATCAATGGGAACTGAAGAGAACTAATACCTGTTCTTGGGCCTCCATCCAGGGCTTTGAATTAAGTCAGATCTTTAGCAGCAATAGCTAATACCTGTGAAGCAGCAGACAGACGCACAATGTTATGCTGCATGAGCCCTGTGCTTATTTCCACCTCTGGGAACATCTGGGAATTAAGTTATTTTATTGCAAGTTTTGTTTTTGAGGCATTACTGATTTTGGAGGTGGGATGGAGCCCGCTGCTGTAGCTGAGGTGTCTAAATCCTCCTGTCTGAGCAAATCTTTACAAGATGCTCCTACGGAAACCCCCATGTTATCCGACGAGCTGTTTGTGCAGAGCGCGCATGCGCAGTCCGTACCTGTGCTGGTAGAATCGGCTGATTACAGGAAGCACATTTTGGTGCAAAAACCCTACGATTGAAGAGAAGAAAGCATTCAAATCATATTTAAAAATCTGGCAACACAAGAGCACTTTAACTACAGCCCATCTATAGAGATAGGCTTCAGGCTGCAAAATCCAGGGATCCATTTTGGGAAGTTTGAAGAGGAGACTGATTCAAACATACTTGTGGCCTTTCTGTCTCAGGTCCCTTACACTAAGGTATTGTTCAACAGGCATCTTTTCCCTTCCCCCAGTGACCACTTCTGCCTGAAGTTTGTACACATGGACTTCATGAGCCTGCGTTAGAGAAGTGACTCAACCTGGAGGTTCTTACCCGCCAGGTGTCAGACCAGCATGAGACTTGTCCTTCCCACGTTGCTAAAATAGAAGGAGGGTAGGGTCTAACAAACAGAGAAGGGAATTTCATGGGACTCCTAGTACAGAACAAGTGGGAATCAGTAAGACACTGTCTGCGGGGCTAAGCGTATTCTGGCCTTCCTTCACCTTAGGACTTGGAACAACTTTCCCTAGCAGCTATGGCTCTAACAGTTACAAACCATACTCCCACCCCCAAAAATCATCTGCTCACAATAAAGGTCAACTCTTCTTGCTCACAACTGTTATAGCACTTATGCTAATATTCACTCTTCTCCTGATCAATGAAGCTGACCTAGGGAGAACATGTAATTTATTCAGGGGTGCTAGGGTCTATTCTAGCTGAGCCCATGCAAGATTTGGCCCGTGGTTTGTGTTATCAACTTAACATCAACTAAGAGCATTCACCTTCTCTTTGACCTGGAGCAGAGGGGAGTCCCCTCAGAGGAATTCAGAGTTGACATAAGGATGCTGATAACGTAATTCTAACCCTAGCTGTGTCATTACTTCCTCCCCGATCAGCCAAGCTAGATAAAAAGAGACATTTTTATAGTTGGCGATTGTTTCCGATTTATAATTTTCAAATGTCTGAAAAACATTATCCCTAAATGCATGCTCAGCATGAGACGCATTGCTTATTTGGTATAGATAGTCCACGGGTTAGAAATTTGGAAGGAAAATAAAAGTATATTTAATCAGGAAATACACCCGAACTATGAGATGTGAGACCTGTTCAAAGTGTGGAGCACAGCAGTTTCACAGTGTGAAATATAAGACTGGACTGCAGCAGTCTTCCTGTTCACATGTTCTGAGATATACTTTAATTCTGATTTATTTTAGGTTACCTGAAACCCAGGCTCTGGATCTGTTTGTTTGTTTGTAAAGCTGCTAAATCAGACAACTAACATGGCACTTTCAGGGGAAAAAAAGCCACCCTGTAATGAGGAAAACGCTGTCCAGCCAGGATTCAGTCACACTGCTGGGGATGGAGGCAAGGGAAGGGAGAAGGGCAGCCGTATTGTTTTTCTATGCTTCTGTTTAATTCTAACAAGGGGCTCTTGAGCAACCATCCTCACCATGCACCACATTTTGATCTAATACACAATTTCCTCCCAAAGAATGCATAGATAAGCTCCAATGTCATCAGCAATGGCTAGAGGCAGTTTCCACTATAGAAACAGCTTCTGTCAGCAGTGCAAAGGCTACTGCTAGGCCAGGTGCAAGCATCAGCAGGTGCACATACATGCAGTCCATAACCTGCACAAAGTATCAGAGCTGGGAGGTGAGAGGATTGGGGACACAACTGCACTGACCCTCCACAGACCTTCTGTATTGACTGAAAAAAGGTTTCAACATAGGAGTTTTCCAAATGCAGGGACTGGATCTATGCTTACGTGTGATAGTCTTTGACACAGTAAATGTTGTTCTCCACGTCTACAGTAAACGGGACTCCATCCAAACATTCGTTACATACCACGCAGCGGAAGCAGCCAGGATGGTATGACTTTCCAAGAGCCTGTAAAATCTTAAGGAGAGGCAGACAGCAAAATGAGCTGGTGCATGTTCAGCATGACATTCCCCATACCTAGCAATCACCTGACTTTCAACCAAGGCAGTGAAACAGGCATGTCAGGAGGACACATTCATTCTGCAGAACCACTAGCAAAGGGGCTGCTGCAAAGCCTCTTGAAGCTAACGGAAAGATTTTCTTTGTTTTCAGTGGGTTTTGTATCGGGGTTCTTGTTGAGGGCAGGGGATTGTGAGAATTGGGTTTATAGCAGGAAAGCAGCCTCTACCTGAGTTACAGGTGGATGAGTCTGAGGATGGAAAAAACTGCCAATGGATGTGCCCATAAAGTAAAACAATGTAACAAATTCAAATAGAGATTGAGCGCCTTTCTGGAAGATAAATTTCAGCCAAACACAAGCTGTTGGGCTCAAGAGCAGGGAAACTGAAATTATGGGCCCTATAATATACAGGAGGTCAGACTACATCTAATGGTCTCTTCTGACCTTCAACCATAGGAATCTATGAAAAAGAATGACTCATAAACACAATTTCAGTAAACTTGACTCCTTATTAACTGTTAACAATTACATTATCTGCTTTTCTTTACAGGCTGTTCAAGTTAAGTGTTAATTTTTGTTGACCAAAGACTCTTACAGGCTTGTGAGACTGACAGTCAGTCAGGCTTTAAAGTTTTTAGTAACCCATGTCCTGGCAAATAAATACCATATTTTCCTGCAGATAACCTGCACCTTTCCACCCCAAACCAGCCGGAGAAAATTGAGGTGTGTATTATATGCAAGGATAAGGGCTCCTCTCATGAGTGGAACTTCAGAGGTTGTATGTGTGTGTCGGGACGAGGGCAGATTGGTGGCAGCATTAATTGCCACAGTTCTGGGAACCATGGCAATTAATGCTACCGCTGCTCCCTCTCCCTTTCCTTAACCCACTGCCACCAAATTTCCAGACCTGTGCGCCAGATTGGGACAGCGTATGGGGCTTGTCCACAACCAGACCCAGCGTACTCAGTCCAATCCAGAGCCAGTGCACAGGCTGGACCCCACGTGTAGCCTTTGCAGTAAGGTCCCAACACCAGTATGTCAGATTGAACACTGCAGGCTGGATCAGACCCCAGCCCCTGGCCTGGAGCCATCAGCTCCAGAGATTTCAGACTTCTGATACTTACACCCTTACCTCAATATATTTTTTTTCCTTTCGGGGGGTCTTGTGTGTGCTGTATTTTGGGGCATATCATATGTGGGAAAATATGGCAGTTTCAACTCTAGCTCTAGTGTGTTGAGCAGGAAGATTCAATTCTATGGAAAAGCCCTGGGTGCTCTCATGGTTACATAACGCAGGGTAAAATTCCTTGCGTGACTGTCACCTTCTGAAGGTGACTTCAGATGGTGTCTGCCAGCATATTCATTTTAGCTCATTCTGGAGCTGCTAATAAGATGAAGATCCCTCCAGGTCTGTGGGTGAATTGTTCAGATCCACAGGAAACAAACAGCAGGGCACAGGAAAAATTATGAACTACACGGGAAAAACTGTGTCTGTCCAGGACTGGGTGTCACGTTCAGTCTGGCCTACGTGGTTAGAAACGACTCATTCTCTCTGTTAATCTGAGTTTCTATCACAACTCTAGATTACGTACATATTAGACCTATTCTGCAGATATTTTATATACAGGACTACGACTGAGTCAGCTGCACTTCATCTGCTGAGCAGCTTCAGTACTGGTCCCGAATTAGGGTGGGCTCACAGTCCTGACTGTTCTTTCACCTGTGGCCTGACAGTCAGGATTCTTACTACTGCACAGACATGTTTGTCTGCCTGTTCATTAGCGGGGAGGAACACAAAGGAAATCAGCAGATGAAGACCACTTAAATCCTAGATCTTGCAGCAATATTTCCTTCTGTTCATGGAAAAGGGCTGATGATCATCTGCCAAACTCCCAGCTCATGAACTCTACCAACTAGATATTATGGACTCCTGCCTAGGATGCTGCAATTAAGCATGCAAATCAGACCAACCCCCTGCCTCCCAGCTTGAGACAGTTCTAGGAATTTGCTCCTGGGCTAAACTGAACAATATCCTTGTCCAACTAGTGGTACCAGGATGCAAGCCAGAAGCCTCAGTAGCTAACTTTCCATTCCAACTCCTACTGAACAACTGAGCTTGCAAAAGCTTTTTGTTTACTCAGGACTGCTAACATTCAGATATATTTTAAAGCTAGAGGAAAATACCGACTCACCAGAACCTTATTAACACTATTTGACAGAAGTCTTTAGCATGCAATCTGTCCCTTTCTTTTTTGTTTTTGGGCTTTTTTTCTGAAAGAGAATTGGCCAAATTCATACACTGAGTTGCATCAAGGGTGTTTGGCTTGTACTTCTTTTCTTAAACAGATTCTAGCCAGTCTCCTCCCACAAGCCACAGCTGCTAAGCCAGGCTCATTAACAAAGACATCATATCAATAGGTGACTTCATGGACTGTGCCATTCCTGTCTGTGAGTATACAGAATAGAGGCTTACATAAGGAACTAATTTATTTTATCAGAGGCAACGGGGAAGCAGGAGCCTTTCAAGGGTCTGCAGGAGAGACTCTTATTGCAGTTCCCATCCCTCAGAAAACAATCCATCTTCTTTGGCCACTGACAGGGCTGTGCCTGAAGAAGCATTAGGGCTCTTGTGTTTTTCCTCCTTGGAGTTTCTCTCTCTAACTGGCAAAAGTAATAACCTACATCACTAGTGGTTGTTTTCCAGCGCTTTCAGACAGTAATTAAACACAGTCTCATCATGCTGCTGTGAGGGTAGTAATAGTATCCCATTTTACAGGAAGGGAAACTGAGGCACAATGCAAGCAGCAGAGCTGGGAATAGAGCTCAGAGCTCTTGTTCCCTGAACTCCTGCAATGGCCAATAGATTATGCTTCCTTTGATGAGGCAGCGCTCCTGCTGCCTTGCTGGCTGACAAAGCAAGCCTTCATTTTTCTTTGACTGCTTTTTCTGTGAAAAGGTTCTATATTTTACAGGCTCCAAAAGTATATTAAAGCCTACAAAAGTTTCCCACTGCTTCACTATCAACATTTTCCCCATTTCCCCCAGACTTGGTGGAACTCTCAGTCAGAACAGCTGCTCTCTGCACTCAGGTTAATGGGATTGCTGTTGTGAATTCGTTGTTATTTGAACTGTGATGCTTCCTTGATAAAAATGCCCTTGGCAAGATGGGGAGAGGGGTATAGCTTGATTAAGGGGAAAAAAAGCAAACAGGTTGCGACATTGCAACACTCAAAATACATCAAAAGAAACATATCCCACAATTATTGAGTTAGCTTTCTTACCATTTCCATTATGAGGTGTCCACATACAAAGCACTTGTCTGCTGTTTGTTGAAAGCCTGAATACTGTTCAAATGACAGAAAGGAAGGGATTGTTAGTAACTGCTAATTGCCCTTTCTTGCTTTCTAAAGTTATACTTGTCACGCAAATGCTAGGTTGTTTTTCTGTCTAACCTAGGATGAAACAAACCTTGCCACACTAAGCTGGCTCCAATGCTTTTTTATGGCCTGGTGTGAAATGCTCTTGGAAGACTAATTCAAAAGCTTTCACACTGAACTTTGAACATGCTCAGATTCTGTTCTCAAACAGCTGGAGCTAGTTTTGCCTTCTGATCAGAGCATGTAGTTAATACAGAAAATAATGAGGATTTGGGCACAGGTGCATGCTTTAAATTTGACTTTTTGTTTTTTAGCGTTCTCTTTGGCATGATGGAATCTACTTACAAAAAGATAGATGTCAGGTAAAGCTGTACACATCCAATAGCCTAACCCCATGGACATCAATAGCCAAACTCCCCTTGACTTAAATGGGACCAGGATTTCATCCTATGTTGTTTGGCCAACAAAAACAGACAGGAACAGGGAAGCAGATTTGTAAAGTACATTGCCAAAGTTCTTGAGCCTGACAACTGACCCGTTAAACATTTGTTCTATAGGCAATGGGGCAGAGGGTGCCAGAAGGACTGAAGCTTAGTAATTTTTAAACTATTATTTGTAGTAGCCTGGCTCTTTACCCTGGCCCTTTGCAGCCACATGTCAATGGGCTGCTGTGTGTGCATGTTTCCCGCTCACCAGGACTGGGTGTCCAGTTGTTTACATGGTGTTGCACAGCAAGCTGGATATTTAATTATTTGAACTACTGGGGTAATGAAAAAGACTGAATGAAAAGTGTGGGTGTCCTGTAGGTGCTGCTTGAACCAAAAGGCCAAACCACAGCTTCTCTGCCAGAGCCCAGGTCTGCTAGTTTGGCCAGCCTGATGCCTCCTTGCATCCAGTCATTTGTCTGACAGGCCCTGCTGGAGTCAGTGGGGAAGTTCCACTGATTTAGTGGTCACAGGGTCAAACTAATCTAGCAAACATTTTCCCCTTTTAATCATTTATTCCCCAATTTTTCCAGGTAGGTGGCACACTGGTAAGAAGGTCATTGCTACTGCCTATCAGAAATGATTAGAAACTGATATCTGTCCCATACTACAATGGACATGCAACATGTTATTTAATAGCATGCTATTTCAATCCTCACAAGACACATTAAAACAGGCATATTGGATATATACTGGATAACAGCACGTTATCTTGACTGTGCGTGCGCCTGTGTACGTACACACACACACATTTTAGAACTTAAAAGTTTTAAACATAACAAACAACCCCCCCCGAGGCACTCGGGAACATGCATGGAGAAGCACATGCACAAAAGTTACTCTGAGGTTTCTGCAGGATGTTTTGCTGCCTTGAGTAATGGCAATTGTATGCAATTGCCTAGAGTACTGAGCACACTGGTTAGGATTCCCCCTCCCCTTAATGTTTACTCCTTTAATATCAAAATATTTGTTTTTCTCATTCAAGACCCTGCTACCCAGGGATGCTCCCTACTTCCACTGTATCTAAGTGACCATCTGGCCAGACTGTTTCCTAAGGTTGTGACCTTAGGGCTTCTGGAAACAGGTGGGGAGGTCCTGGCAGAGCAGACAGCTGAGGATTAACAATAGCATAAACCCAGCTAATTCTCCAGTCTTGTCAGCATGAATCTACCAGGACCATCTGGCTGTCATTTGATAAGGAATGCAAAGGAGCATTTACCCAGTTATTGATTAACAAGGAACAGTATTCCCAAAGAGCCAAATAGCTTAGCGGTCTGGCTAATGTCATTTATTGCAGGCTGGATTGCCATAAATTACACTGTGCGCCAGAGGGAGGAGTTTTGTTGATACAAAAATCACTCTTTATATGACTAAACCAATTAAAACCATTGTTCATTTTTAAACAGGAGAAGTTGTGTGTTGAAAAAACACACAATGAGCTGGATTACTCGATTTAAGAAAACGCTGCCAAGTGATGCAACATATTATTGGCTCGGCAAAGTGACCCTTCTTCGCTGCTATACTGTGCATCTATCTGATTGCAGCATTGATCCAAAAAAGCCTGAGAACTTTTGGTTCAATGAGAGTTGGGTTTTGGATAAGTCTCTCCTGGTGTTTTGTATTTCGATGGGATGGATCAGAAGGATAGTCCTTTGATCCCAACAGCACTTTTTCTACATTATACCAGCCCAACGGAGGCTGTAATACCGTTGAACAATAAAGAGGTATCTCCAGGCATTTGTGCATCAACCATTCAACTCTATCCTACTACAGTGTAGTTACTTTTGTTCCTAAACTTGGAGAACTCCAGCCTTGGTTGTATGAAGTTTTGAATTTAAGAAGCATAAAGTACAAAATAAGCAATCCTCTGACAGATGAGTAAGAGCTAGCACTCAGCATTTGCTCTCTTCAGAGTGCTTTATATAGACAAGGGGTACTCAATCTTTTTTCCCTGGGGACTGGATGGGCAGCAGTGTGGTCTCTCCACGGGCCAGACCCAGCTGCGTGGAGGCAGGTAGGAGACAGTCCAGCCCCGAACCAACCACGTGGGGGGGAAAGGGTTGTGGCCTGGCCCCTCGGCCCAGTTGCACAGGGCTTGAGAATTTGGCAGCAGGGGAGGGGTGGTAGTATTAATTGCCACTGTTCCCCCAACTGCCAAATTACCTGACCCTTGGGGAGCTCTAAGGGCTGGATGCACTGGATCCACAAGGCTGGATTGCTATAGACTAAGCATCACAACCATCCTGTGAAGTCATATAGTGCAGGTGAGAAAACAGAGGTAGAAAACAGCAAAAATGGGCTTACTGTTTGTCCTATACTGCATCTCCTAGGACCAGGGCCCCACTGTGCCGGGTGCTGTGCAGAAATAGATCAAAAACATGGTCCCTAACCCGAGGAACTGAGACGGGAGTACCAGGAGACAGCGTGATAGGCAATAGTAGGAGATGGTCTCAGAACACCAGGAGCTTAACCAGGCCTCGCATTTTCATGCAGACAGTGTGGCTTCTGCCAAAGGTATATTTCAGGACTGGCTTATCTTGGCTCCCACTGAAGTCAGTAGTTCCCAAGGGAGCAATTAGGCCATATCTGAGTGGTTTTTTATTTTTTTAAATCTTATCCTGCATTTGATTTCCTAGCTGTGAAATGGGGACAGTTCCCGTCCTCACATGAAGGCTGGAAGGTTCAATGGCTCAGTTTGGTGAATCACTCTGGGACGATGGTGCTAAGGGCCCTACTAGGTGATAGTGCGAGAGGGATCCAAACCCCAGTCCCTGGCTCCTCCTACTGCCTAGGCCTGTCTGAGATGCAACTGATCTCTGGGCTGTCCCTAAAGAGGCAGTTTTTCTTTTCCATTTTCTTTACCAATGAATGATAAGAGTGTCTTTTTTACCATCTTTAAACCACTGAACTATTTTGTTTGGGTTTTCTGTGCTTGCCAGTGAGGTTTTTAATTACTGTTCCCTAGACAAATAAATAATATACATAATCATTTGGTGCTAGAAATGTACTTACAGGAGCCTACAAACAGTATGTGCCCAGCTATACTAGAGAGAGGTTTTAAAACAGTAAAGTGTGTCTGCTTTTCATTTTTTTTTAAATACCAGCAATACTGAATAATTTTCAACTAACAAATAGAAGCTTTGCAATATAAAGCTCAGACTGAGCTTGATCCTTTACTCCCACACTTGTGACTTTAAAATAAGACACCAGGTACCAAAGTACTAAGAAATCAAATGGCTCTTGGCCATCTAACAGGTGATTGTTCTGCAGTCTCAATTGTCTCAAGCTTTTTCTCCCACATTTATCTCCTTACTGACTGTCAGCTTTCAGGATGTTAACAGTCTTTGTAACAGTCAAGAGATTATTTTAGGAGCCTAAATATGTAGATATTTTAAAGGGAGACTTGGAGATGTAGAGCTCAAGATTAAAAGGCTTAGCTAGCTGAACTCTGTTGTTTGCTCGTCACTAGACTACGATTCCCAAACAGGCAGAAATCTCTAATGATTTTTGTCCAGTTGCCTTTCTTTAGATGGGAAAAAAAATCAGGTCCGCTAGTGCCCTCAAATTCTGATCTCCAGTTTAAAGGACTCTTTTGCTTACTGTGCAATAAATATGTCCTAAATAAATTAGCAATGTATTTTGAGCATATAATGGACAATTATACATGAAGGATAATTCCACCAAGTACTGTGAAAACATGTCTCCTTGCTGCAACTCAGCTACTTTGGATCCTTTAAGCTTAGATACTTTAAGCACAAGCTTCAAAAGAGACTCTGTATATCTGGAAAAAGCTTCAGGACCCAGTTTTCTACCTTAGCCTCTCTGTCAGGTCTTGGTAAGGACTCGCTGCTACTTCTTAACATGCCTAGCCATGCCTGTAGAGTGGATGCTACTGCTTCCCTGCTGTTGTGTACTTGAGACAAAAAAACCCAAAACTGCTTTCCTCCCGAAAACAAAGCCCTTGCAGTCCCTTACAGACCCATTTCCTTTTTGAATGGAGATCTTAAAAACTTGGTAAAGACCTGTGCTAACAGGTCCAACGGGTTAGCTTTTGGCAGATGCTCTGGGTGCCTTGTAGTAATATCAGGAGCTTTTTATCACTGATGTTTTCTGATTCAGTACTGCAAAAGTTGCTTACATTGAGTCACTCGGCCTAGACTTGAGATTCCTCCTCTTTCATGCTTAAAAGGTCTTTGAGAGGAGAAACCAGGAGATTTTGCCAAGATGCTTCAGGCATTTAATTCTGAAAACTCATTTCTGAATTGGGTGCTATGCTAATAATGTATTCCAACCCCAGGCTGCCTGTAATCCCTCACAGACTCTCTTCTCCTTGGTTTCCCATTAGCAGAGCATCTGTCTTCTCTCCCCCTTATTGTTTGCACTCTGCATGGGACCCTTAGTACATGGGACACAACAAGGCAAGGAATTCACGGAATCACGTCAGGAGAGGGAAAGAATGTAAAATTTTGCTTTATGCAGATG